AAAGTTTCCTCCACTGTCATAAAATGTTAGGAAGGAATGGTTTTATGTGCATGATCCTGAAGTCAATTTTTACTAGGAAAAAGGTGCAGAAGAATCATCTGCTGTCTGACGTGCTTTTCTGTTGCTGTGATAAGACACCATAACCAAGGCAATTTAGAGAAGATAGAGTGTATTGTGGCTTCCCTTCTCAGTGGGCTAGAGTGCACGAACATCATGTTGAGAGCTCATGGCAGGAGGCAGTCAGGCATTGCTCTGAGCAGGAGCTGAGAGCTCACACAGGACCACAAAGCAGAGAATGCTAACTGGGAATGGCATTTGGATTTTGTAACCTCCAAGCCTGCTCCTGTGACACTCCCTCCCACACCTTCTAAATCCTTCCCAAAAAATTCTAGCAGGAGAGCAAGTTTTCACATCTGTAGCTCCGTGGAGGCCTTTGTTGTTCAAACCACCAGAGCTGCATTTTAGAAATTAGCAACTGTCATTTACTCATCTTTCAAAGATGAACTCAATGTTTTTAGAGATGTGGGCAATGAAAATGAAATGATGAGACATGAAGCTTTAATGTGTATTCCTACATTATTTAGTTTTATTTAAGATATGTGAAAACCTCCACTTTTGAAAATATTGCAAAGTACAAACTGTGACATGGGCATGAGATGAGAGTTTATAGATTGCAGAGAAAGAGTGGAGGTTGTGGACATTTTAGTTCTGATGTCCAGTCAAAAAAGGAGCTATTTCAAATGTGAGTGACCTCATCATCATGAGGAAGTTGGAGCACCTCTGTGCGTCAAGGGTAGGAGAGCACATTGACCATTAGATGACACACTGTTGCCATCCTGACATTTTTAGTTAGTGTTTTTTTTTTTATTGTGCATGGGGAAGTAGCAAGGCAGACAGTCCAGTGTGAACTTAGAAACCAAGAGATCAGAAGTCTCCAGATAGGAGCTTGGTGGCTGTATTAGTGTCTTGTCCTGATTCCATAATAAAATAATTAGACAGAATCTCTTATGGAACAGAGATTTATTCAAGTGCAGTCCTTCAGTTTGGAGAAGTTAAGGCAGTGGTAACTTGAAGTGACTGTTCATATGATATTCATAGTCCAGAAGCCCAGAATGAGTGCGAGCTACCAGCTGCTTTCTCTACTTTATACCATCCAGATCCTCATCTGGGGAGTGATCTTTCCCACAGTTAACTTGCTTCTCCCCAAGTCAATTAACTCAAGGCATGCTCAGAGGCTAAGTCATTCCTCATTAGGTATCCCTATAAGCTCATCTCCTAGGCAACTCAAGTACCCATGAGGTTGACAATTAACATCAAGCATCACAGCGGCTCTTCAAGGTGAGTAATCCAGAACAGCAGACATCTGGCCACTGGCACACCTATGAAACCTTCTCTAATAATGCTGATAAACCACACAGCGTAACCAGAATAAGAGAAGCAGTTGGATGGGATGGATTCTATGACACTGTATGCCAGTACTTATAACCCTAAAACTTCCTCATTCTTATGCTAGTGTGAGTATACAGTGCAGGTGGTTCAAACAGTATGTGCTGCCCTCTAGATCACTGCCATCAGCTGTAGATGCCACCTCCTCTAGACATGTCTGTCATTTCTGCATCCATTCCTCCTTCTCTGAGTAGCTACCAGTGATGATAAATGAGAGTTCTGGAAAGATCAAGACTCTTAGGCTGTAGTAGAGGAAGAGCTGTAGTCTCATGTATGCTCTGTATCATCCTCATGTGTCAAATGAAATAGAGTCCACTGAGAATGCACCTCAGCTCATGCATTTCTACTCTATCATCTTTTCTTTAGTAAATTACTACTTTCATCCTTATAAGTCATTTGTACAAAAAATCTTGCCTCAGGTTGTTCTTTGAATAATTACAACTTACTCTTATGCAACGCTCCTGTAAATGGATGTCAGGGTTGTATTCGCTCACTCACAGAACTCTTTTAGCCCATAGCATTAATTGGTAAAACCTCAGCCTATTCCACTGACTACTTCAGGCCAGGCATCCCTAAAAACAGTATCCATGTGCTTGTAAAGCCTTTGCCACAGCATTTCCCCATGCTCCAGATACACTGACACCAAAACTTGATGACAAACCCCTGTGGCTGGTGTCACCACCATGCACATTGACCACAGGGTGCAGATAATTTAAATTCCTTGTTACCAGGGCACTTCTTCCCTCCTGGCTGTCTTTCATAGTACTGCAAAGCGTAATTCAGTCTGCTGTGGAGAAGTAGTCATCAAGAGTTCACCCAGCTGTGAATCCTACAAATTTTAATAATGACCAGGGTGGCAAGATTTGTCCTCATGTATAATAGTTGCATGATTTTGATGGGTATAATCAACTGCTTTCTGATTGGATTTACACCTGATCTGCACAGGCAAATACATGCCTGATCCTACAAGTATGGCCAAGAATCTACGGTTAGGAAACTCACAACCTCCAGGGAAGAATGTAGCACTATTATTCTGCTAAATATATATAGTGTCAAACTGCCCTCTATATTGGTATCTCTCTATCCACAGATTAAGGCAGCTCCCAGCTTTCATCAGAGAGCTGTGAACAGTGCAGTGAACAGTGATCAACACAGAAACCTAGAACCAGTCAAAGTGCAGAGACTATGTGAATGTGGACTGTTTGTTCACACTCCTCAAAGACAAGGGACTATCATGAAAGGGGGAGGGTCATGGAAAGTGTAAATCAAACTAGTCAAAATTCTTGCATGGTGTGGGAAATAGTTCATGAACCCCCAACTCCTAACTGAAGAGCTATGGGCAGCTGAAGACTTCGGGGTGAGGGAGAGTCAGTTTTCTTTAAGGATGTTGACTCCTAGGAGGTCAACCACACTTCAGTGGGTGGTTCCATAGCCAGGGGTATATAGGCAGCACCATGGAGTCAATAGTTATTAAAAGCAACCAAGAAAGGACACACAGTTGTGGGGAGGGCAGGCAGGAAGGTAAAGATTCATCTAGGAGGAGGGGGAGGGCTAGCAGGTATGTATGATCAAAGCACACTCTATGAAATTCCCTAAGATTTAAGAAAAGTATTTTAAATATCAGTAAAAAGAGTAAAAGAATTAAAATGGCACAGTCATTATTTTCATACTTAATGTCTATATAATATATAAAAGTACATATACATATATAATCAAGTATAATATAATATATACTGTAAGAATACTGTTACTTTTTAGTTGTTCAACATTGCTTTGGCTATTTGGAGTATTTTACAAAAGTGTTTCCATATGAATTTCAGGTTTCTCTTATTTCCTACTTCCATGAAGAATGTCAAGAAAGTTTTGTGGTTATTGCAATGAATCTGTAGATGGAGTTAGCTGACGTGGCCATTCTCACAACATGGATTCTGCCCATCTATAATCACCGGTAAGTCTCTCCAACTTCTAATGCCTTTTTCATCATGTTTCTTCAGGGTTTCATACTTTTACTGTGGAAATCTTTCCCAACTTTGGTTATGCTTTAGTTACTTTTTTTTGGAGGAGGATACTGTGAATGACATTTTTTCTCATCATATCTATTGTTGGATATATCTCCATACCCAGCCTCAAATTCTACTTTTGAAATGCAACACTCTTATTTGAATGGAGAATGTCCCCATAGGGTTATGGTTTAAATACCTGGTCTCCAGCTGGTGATGCTGTTTTAGGTGTGCTATCAAATTAGCCTACTAAACCAAAGAGTCTAATTTTTGCTTTAGAAACAGAAGCTAAATTAATACACAGAGAGCCCCTATATACCTTTTCTGTATAATGATGCTATTTGTGGCCAGATCTTTGTGTGTGTGTGTGTGTGTGTGTGAGAGAGAGAGAGAGAGAGAGAGAGAGAGAGAGAGAGAGAGAGAGAGAGAGAGAGAGAGAGAGAGCGCTCTATGTAAGTCTTCTAAGAATTAATAGGCACTAGACATTTGTAAATCTGTAGCCAGGAACATAATTTTCAAATTAGTTTTACTCGTTTTGAATGTGTTTTAAAAGTTTTGTATCTATTGTTTGCTAACATTTCCCTTTATAATTAAGGGTAGTCTGAGAATATTTTACAGAAGTACAAGCTCTGACAAGAGAAGCTACATTATATTTTTAAGATGTTAAAATGTTACCTACTGGACAAGCAGAATAGACTTCAGATTAACTTAACCTAAGCATCTTTCCCTGCACACCTCTTGGTGGCTTAAAGGTTTACTGACACTAACTCCTTGGCACCTGTCACTTACACCTTTCCCGTTGTGGAACCAACTGGGACAAATCTTATCCTTAGCAACAACTGATAGTAGAGGACCAACCTCCAAATGACTTCAGAGAACACTGTTAGGAAATTCAGCGATGGGGTGGGGATGACATTATTAAGAGAAGGACACATGTCTGTTCAAAGGAACGGAAAAGAGCATTATACATCCACCCTCTCATTGCTTGAGTGCTCCGCATAGAATACTTAAATGCTCTCCTATTTAAGCCTCCTCTCTGTCAGAAAAAGTCATCAGGAAGCGGGTTTAATGTGCATGGTCTATGAAACCATCTTTCTGTACTGGGAGGGGGAATGCAGAGGAAGCAGAGTGGGCATACTAGAAATGACCAGCTGGAGTTCCTTTGCTGTTTATAGATGAGCTAACTAGAAGTTCAGAGGTGGGAACAACCATTTGAGAAAGAGAAACAAGGAAACATGGCTTTTTTATATTTGTAAAACTGCATATTATTTATTTATTTAACATGTGAGAAAAATCTCCATTTAAAAATATAGCAGACAACAAAGATTTCTGCTGGGTTAAGGTGAGAGTTGACAGACTCCAGAGAAAACACACGCTTGTTTACATGTTGTAAAGTGATACTCAGCAGGCAGCAACAGTGACAGCATATTTGGAGGTTGAAATCATTATCAGTTGGAACAGAGGCTTTACGCTGGGCCTCTCAGGATCAGCTCACAGGTGGGCCACATCAGGAGTGCTGGGTGGTGAAGAACAGGAGACTGTGGGTGAGAGCGCTCAGCAGCAAGAACTGCTAGAGCATGCTGGGCGGCAGCAGGAGGTCTGGCAACAGGTGGGGCGGCAGCAGCTGGAGATGCAGCACTGAGGCCTGCAGCAGCTGGACACACAGCAGCTGGGGCGGCAGCAGGAAGGCCTGCAGCAGCTAGAAATGCAGCAGCTGGGGCGGCAGCAAGTGGGTTGGCAGCACACAGACTGACAGCAGCTGGGGCGGCAGCAGCTGGACACACAGCAGCTGGGGCGGCAACAGCTGGACACACAGCAGCTGGGGCGGCAGCAGGAAGGTCTGCAGCAGCTAGAAATGCAGCAGCTGGGGCGGCAGCAACTTGATCCACAACAGCTGGAACTGCCACAGCAGGGGCGGCAACAGCTGGACACACAGCAGCTGGGGCGGCAGCAGGAAGGCCTACAGCAGCTAGAAACGCAGCAGCTGGGGCGGCAACAGGGGCGACAGCAGCTAGAAATGCAGCAGCTGGGGCGGCAGCAGCTGGATCCACAACAGCTGGAACTGCCACAGCAGGGGCGGCAGCAGCTGGAGATGCAACAAGATGGTCTGCAGCAGCTGGACACACAGCAGCTGGGACGGCAGCAGCTGGGCTGGCAGCAGCTGGGCTGGCAGCAGCTGGGCTGGCAGCAGCCTTGGCCACAGCCCTCCTCAGAGCAGACAGAGCCACAGCAGGAGTTGACCATGGTGTCGGAGGTGGAGGTTCTGGGTGAGTTCACAAGAAGGTGGGTTGGAAGGTTTGGAAGTGGGAGTCTCCCTGCCCACACCCCCTTTTATACCCCACTGAGGGGCTGCTGTCCCCACATGGAGCATTCTTTCCCTGTTATTGTGTTGATAAACAGGTGATTATCAAATTAGGTGAGTTTCTTCTCCTGGTTAAATTATGAAGGTGGATGAAAAACATGATTTCCTCTTCCTGATATTAGGATTCATCATCAGCTCTTGCTGAACCATTTCCTAAGTGTCTTTCTTGCCTTAATTTCTTGACAACCAATTGTCACATGACATTGTGCATCTAGTCACTGTATGGTTCAGCATCATGGTGGATGGCTCTACTGTCTATCCTTAGATAATCATGGTTTTTAAAGACCCATAATTGTTTCTGGTGACCCAGGAAGATAAAGGATTATTATACCAATGGCTCATAGACAACAGGTCAGGTGGGCGCTGACGATGTGAATATTAGGACCATTGGCATGAACAAAGAAAGGTCTTCTTCATGTGACTCACACATCTTCTAGACCAATTTCAAAGTGGAAAACTGAATGGGAAATGTTGATATTTACCCCCTCCCTTGACTCTTTTTTTTTCTTTTGCCAGAAACACTCCTTTAATATAATCATTTATAGGACCTTTCTCTACAGTGGGTTACAGACCTCAACTGGCTTAAAAATTCAGATTTCTCAGCTCTGGCCTGTAGAATTATTTCTTTTCTTTTCCAATCTAAGTTTCTGGCTTAACAGAACATATGTAGCCATATCCTGCCTTTTCCCAAGATTTACTTTGCAACTCCATTTGATAATCAAGTGGTATTGTCACTTATTCTAATTTAAACCCAAATGTCCTGCTTTCAGCTCGGTTTTTTAGTAGGAGACTCTCCTGTTTTGTGTTTCACGTGGGGGCTTAGTCTCCCCTCTGTGTTCATTTTACACATGTATATATATGCATATACACACATGTGTGTTTTGTGATTTTATTTATCACATATACTTACTTATGTGATATATGCATGTATGTATCACATGTGTAAATATGTGATGTGTGTATGTATATATCACACATGTAAATAAAAAGAGATTGATATGTATCTATTTTGGTACACATTAAATACTTAAAGGGCATAAAATACCCATCCAATTAGCTAGGTGATTAATGTTTCAATTCCCTCTGCTGAACTCTGTTGGTCAAGAAACAGATGGACAGGGGATAACTGTGTTAACATTATTACATTTCTTAATTAGGACCATTTAGTGGCCAAGCGTTATACACTATTTTTATGACAATTTGTTCAACAAACACCAAGTCTATAGGTTTTTTTCTCATAGGCTCATATTTGTAAAGCTTGACAAGATGAAGGATTTAAATGATGATATGTCCTGAGAGAGATTTTTCCCCTGGATTGCTAAAGTAACAAGGACACTTCTGCTTCCACAGGAATGGGCATAGGAAGATTTCTTGATTACTGGAGGAGTTGTGGAGCCCAGTCCCAACTGATACATCTGCAAAGTAAGGCTCAGGGATCCTTGCTGAAGAGGGAGTGGAAAGATTGTTACAGCCAGAACATCAGGGAGTTTGCTGTGAGACTGTGTCTCCTAGGAATGTCAGAAGCTCCACCCACAAAGTCTCACCAACATAGCTGTAGCACAAATCTTAACGAGTCTTATTAGTAAAATCAAACCTGAGGCCAGTTATTGGGGTGAATGCTGGAAGATCAGAGGAGCAGAATAAGCCACAGCTACCTCACCTTGCCAATTCCTCAGCTGATCCTGTTTCCGCAGACTGGATGCCTCTGAGTCCTCATCCAGAATGAATCTCAGCTAAACTGCTGCTCCAAAGCCTGAAAGCTTAACCAGCCAAATGCTTAACCAGTCAAATTAAGTTAAGCTGCTAGTTTCTGGTCCTCATGCTTTATATACCTTTTGCTTTCTGTTATCACTCCCTGGGATTAGAGGCTCACTTTCTGGGATTAAAGGCATGAGTCACCTTGCCTTGCTGTTTCCAATGTGGCCTTGAACTCACAGAGATCCAGAGGGATTTCTGCCTCTGGAATGCTAGGATTAAAGGCGTGTGCTACCACTGCCTAACCTCTATGTTTAATATTGTGGCTGTTCTGTCTCTGACCCCAGATACATTTATTAGAGTGCACAATATTTTGAGGAACACAATACCACAACACATAGCTGCCTAAACATGAGTTGAACAAGGCTGACATCAATAAACATGCTAGTGTGGACGGGGGAAAGCTTATGAGGTCTCATCCCTACACAAAGAACTACCAACAAGTAAGGAATGGTTGGAGTGGGAGAAAGAGTCTTCCCCAGGGAAAAACATATCAATTGGTTATTCATACCAAGTGGTCATCTCTCAAAAACATATATACAAGTACATCACACAGATTGTGCAGGTTGTAATTATGTATTTAGGAATTTGCATATACATCACACACACACATACATGAAGAGGAAGATGATGTAATTGTATTATAATCTTAATAAAAAATAATTTTTTTAAAAAGAAAGGTCTTTTGGTAAAAGACTTGCCTAGGACCACACAGTACTGGGCTCAAAGCGACAGAATAAAATAAGTCAGATGAGCCCCTTTACACTCCTAAATGGGTAGAGCACATTCTCTAAACCAGTGGATCTCATGACTGGCTGCAGGAGGATAATCCACAGAGTATTACAAACTGTTAAATCCTGGTTTGTGCCCTGGACAGTCTTCTTTTACCTGGTTTGAGCATCAGCAGTTTGTAGAAGTCCACAGATGATCCCAGTGAGCCTCGAGACTTGAGAATCCCTCACTAGACTGCCCACATTCCCTGCATTTGTGTCTCTTGTCATATTCAACAGCAACTCTGAGCACCATAGAATGAAGTAATGCTGTCTCTTTATTATCATAGGCCGATCGTAACACTGACCCACATTGATGAGAATAGACCAACAGGGAATGGAGTCCAGTTATTGGATTTATTTTAAAAGAAGAAAGCACCAAACAGAAGAGACAGTACTATATGCTTTTTGCTAAAATTTACCTGCTATAAAACAAAACTAACATCAGGACTAGATAAACAAATTATGTGACTGCTATCTGGCCTATCCCTATTCTATTGTACATAGCTCAGTTTCCTAAACTCTGAGTTGTGACGTATGGAGTCATATAACTGAACATGGGGTTCATTGGGTAAACAAACTACTCCTAAGGGCAGGTCCTGTGCCTAGCAGTAGATGGCCAACACAAAACAAAAACAATAGCTTTGGAGGGTCCTTGTCTCATAATGCATTGTCTGGGCAATATTTTCATTTATTTTTTTCTTTCTTTATTTTCTTCCCTTACAGGTCTTCTGTACAAAATTATGATTTCTGAAGGTGTGTTTTTATGGGATTTTAGGGTGTGCAAATGTGAATTTTAGGTGGGATTTGGTATTTTATTTGGAGGAGAAGATTGTGAGTTTTTGTTAATGGAATCCATTTACTGGTTTCTTTCTCATCGAACTAGTTGTTGGGGGCATCGCACACAGACTCTAAGTACCCTGTGGAGGTGTGGTAACAGTAACAGGACAGAACTGGCATAAGAATAGATAAGTCTGCAGATCTATGGAACATAACAGCGGATCCAGAAATAAACTCATGCACTATAGCCTTCTGAGTTTTAATAAAGTTGCTATGAACATATTTTAGGGGAGGGTCCATTAAGATCAATCCATGTGAGTCTGTTTAATGGGTATTTATTAAGATAAAATTGAGGACCTACACTCACGAATACAGAACCGAGGAAACAGCTGGGGTCATCCTCTGTTCTGACCAGAAGTGAATCCACCTGGCAGCTCGATCAGACCAGGAAGCAGGCTGCAGGGAGAAGGGGCTCTCAACCCTTCTCTCTTACTTTTTAAGAGGTCACATACTAAGGCAAGAAGCACCACCTCTTTTGGGCCCTATAGCCCAAGGTCATGGGCAGAGCAAATACCACTACAAGGGTCCCCTTAGCAACTTGGGTTAGGAAAACAGGATACCCACATAGGGAACTGAAATGTATCCCTTGCTCATCTCTCTAGATGAATGCTCACTCAAAATGGATAAAATGCTTTAACTCAAAATTTGAAAAGTTGAAACCACAAGAGGAAAAATATAAGAACATTCAAAATGATAGTAAGAATTGACAAATTGAATCTCATAAAAGAAGAAACAACAGAATGAAGAGAAAGACTGGGGAAAAATCTTCACCAGTTATTCATTGCCCAGAATATTAATATCCAGGATATATTTAAAAACTCAAAAATGCTAAAAAGAAATGAAAAATAATAAATCAATAAATAGGCAATATGTTCAGAAGATTGAACCAAAAATCAAGGCTTGATCCTGACACCATGAAACTCTCTACACTATGTTAGACTTTTGCAGAAGCAAAGTGTCACTGGGTTGGGAGCATGTGTATTAGATTGCTTGTCCTCTGAGACCTGCTTTTATCCAGAGATTTGACACAAAGTTGTTTATCAGGAAAGTGATCTGAGGAAGCATTGAGGTGAACTTAGAGTATGATGAAAGTCAGCATGAATCATGTGATCAGAACATCTCCAGGAGCAGCAGGGCTCCGTGCCACTGAAGACCTAAAGAAAGTTGTGTAATGCACGTTCACCTGACTCACTGAGCAAGGGCTTATGCTCACCCAATCCCTCTCACTGCTTGAACTCTGTGCCTAGGACCTTCAGCTCTCCTACCCACTGCTGCTTCTTCAGCCAGAGAAAGTTCTCAGCCCAGAGGTCCATGGTGCACTACAAGAACATTGTTCTGCATAGGAAGAGTAGTGCCACAGGACAGAGCTGGCATAGGCTGTCTTTGTACTTAGAAATAGTGGTACTTCAGAATTTGACAGATGTGAAAAACAATCTGAGAGGAGAAATAAATATTCATGGTACACATTGTATGCCTGCAAAATTCAGATTTATTTAAGATACAAGAGAGTTTCCATTTTTAAGAATATAGTAAAGAACCATTTTCTTCCCATGGGTCAAACTTATACAGATTTCAGAGAAAATTTAAATTTGTGGTCATTTTAGAGAAAAATAATAAATAGGCAGAAGTAAGGACAGCATATTTGGAGGCCCAAATCATTATCAGTTGGAACAGAGGCTTTATGCTGGGCCTCTCAGGATCAGCTCACAGGTGGGCCACATCAGGAATGCTGGGTGGTGAAGAACAGGAGACTGTGGGTGAGAGTGCTCAGCAGCAAGAACTGCTAGAGCATGCTGGGCGGCAGCAGGGGGTCTGGCAACAGGTGGGGCAGCAGCAGCTAGAAATGCAGCACTGAGGCCTGCAGCAGCTGGGGCGGCAGCAGGAAGGCCTGCAGCAGCTAGAAATGCAGCAGCTGGGGCGACAACAACTTGATCCACAACAGCTGGAACTGCCACAGCAGGGGCGGCAGCAGCTGGACACACAGCAGCTGGGGCGGCAACAGGGTCTGCAGCAGCTAGAAATGCAGCAGCTGGGGCGGCAGCAGGAAGGCCTGCAGCAGCTAGAAACGCAGCAGCTGGGGCGGCAACAGGGGCGGCAGCAGCTGGACACACAGCAGCTGGGGCGGCAGCAGCTGGACACACAGCAGCTGGGGCGGCAGCAGCTGGACACACAGCAGCTGGGACGGCAACAGGGACGGCAGCAGCTGGATCCACAACAGCTGGAACTGCTACAGCAGGGGCGGCAGCAGCTGGAGATGCAGCAGCTGGGGCGGCAGCAGCTGGACACACAACAGGTGGGCCTGCAGCAGCTGGGCTGGCAGCAGCTGGACTGGCAGCAGCTGGGCTGGCAGCAGCCTTGGCCACAGCTCTCCTCAGAGCAGACAGAGCCACAGCAGGAGTTGACCATGGTGTTGGGAGATGGAGGTTCTGGGTGGGTTTACAAGTGAGTGAAGATATTGGGTTTGGAAGTTTCCTTGCCCCGCACCCCCTTTTATACCCTGCTGAAGGGCTGCTGTCCTCACATACAGCATTCTTTTCTTGTTATTGTTTGTGTTGATAAACAGGTGATTATCTAATTAGATGAGTTTCTTCTCCTGGCTAAATTATCAACGTAGATAGAAAACACAGTTTCTCTTCCTGGTATTAAGATTCATCGTCAGCTCTTGTTGAACCATTTCCCAAGGGTCTTTCTTGATTTAGTTTCTTCTAAACAATTGTCATGTGACATTATGTGTCTAGGCACTGTGTGGTTCAGTCTCGTGGTGGACAGCCCTATTACCTACTCTTAGGTAATCGTTGGTATTACAGACTCATAATTGTTTCTGGTGATCCAGGAGGATAAAATATTTTTATACTGATGGCTCATCCATAATGGGTCAGGTTGGCCCAGAAGGTTTGACCACAAAACACTCAATAGTAAGAGAATAGGAAGCCTATTAAGCCATATCTCGTACCCCATGTGGAGCATGGTTCACTTCCTAGATTATTTTTCAATGACAAGCACAGAACAGTTTTAGGCAGAAAACTGAATGATGATTTTCCCCCCAGAAACAAAGCTCTAACCCTGAGTTTAGTTCTTCTTAGGGAAAATGGGCTTCAGCTCAGCTATACCTCAAAGTCTAGGAGCCTTTGTTTTGCCATGTGGGCTTCTTTTCCTCTGTCTCTGGTAGCCTGTCCTTCTTGCTTTAATAGGAACTCCTGGCCTAGGCTCTTGCTTTTCTCAGATGTCCTTCAGAACTTCAGTTAGATGAGCAACTTCTGGCCTCTTGTCCTCTTTGACCCTGGACCTTCTGTGCCTGCAGTGGTCCTCATCCCTGTAGATGTCTCATCTGAGTCTCTAGTTGGGTAAGTGGGTTAGACTTCACCCTTCAGGACCTCCTTTGAAAAAAATGTAAAAAGAGTGAGTAATCTACATGAAAGGACATCAGCTTATATTTATTTATAGTAGGGACACAGTAATGGCTTAAGGGGTACATAAATCCCACCCAAGTGGCCAGGTGATTAAGGTTTCTAAAAATAAGGAATGCTACCAGTCCACTATTCATGCTCTGCTGGTATAGAAAGAAACAGGCAAAGACTTGCTGTAGCTATGTGATGACATCATTAAATATCTTAATTAGGACACTTTAATGACCAAGCACATTGCAAGATTTGTATCACACTTACTTGCTTAGCAAACATATGGTTTACTTGTAATTTTGTTGGCTCGTAGTTGTGAATTAGACAATATGTAGTTTAAGCAATGATGCATGTCAGAGGTTTGCTGTTGATTGTTTGATCCACTGTTATAAAAGGGACCAAGGAGGAAATAGAGGTATTGGATGAAGACTGTGGTTATCAGTAGGAAAATTACTATTTCTGTTTAAGATTGGGAAAGCCCGTTCCCTGAAGCTAAAAATACACTGAATTCTCCCTGCACATCAATGTACACAGTCACAAATCTTCAGCCAACACAAGTGATTAGTGGCTGCAAGATGGAACCCCCATGGGAGACATAAATTATAGTGTCTGGCACCTCTGTAGAAGGCTTTTCATTTTATAGTAGTGGGCTTGGACTTGGTGCCCATATTTTATGATGCCCCTCAGGTTGTTCCAATGGGCAGTGAAATCTGAGGTCACCTCACTAAATAGTCTACATGGCAAAAAAATAAAATAATGTTGATTACATTTCAGTAATGTGGCTATTTACATAATAGAAAAATGTCTGTGATTTAGAACCACTGATCTTTGAAAACCATAGACTGAAATACCAGTAGTCTCCTTACCTATTATTTTAGGTAGCTCTAATACTCACAATACCTGAATGACACCAATTAGAATGGATTAATAGACAATCAAGCTTTGTTTGAAATTACTATGTCTGGAACACTGGCTTCTATGTCTCTTTTCTTGACCACATGTATCCTTTGACCTCAGGGGGAAAAATTACGATTATGAATTCTCAATTATTTTTATATAACTTCTCTTAGCCATGATGCTCCCTCAGTGCATGTCTCTGACAAATGCAGTTTAATTACATAGTAAGTTTGTGGAGGTTGAATAGAGATAATTTTACTATACATGCATATTTTTACTTCTTTGCTAAATACGTTATACTAGCTAGGGCAGGCAACCTTGAAATTTGCCACCAATTATTATCGTTTTCCTAGTATTCAAGATGTATGTATATCCTTGTCCTCAGGCACTTACTTCTAACCAGATTGTGGCTTTCCCCTTGGCCAGCTCTGTTACCCAGGTTCTTCTTGGATCATTGTCTTTTTGATGAACCCATACTAAGTGGGAGAGAATCCTGTGTCAAAAACTCAAGAACAGCCTGCTATCAGTACCTGGTAAGCACTGAGTCTCTCACTGCAGGTGCTTCAGAGGATCACGTACTCTTAGCCATCACAGAAGTGATCACGGAATCAGATTCTTCCAAGCTGTCTCCTCACAGGTGACCCCAGTGCCAACTGACACCTTCAGCGAAACCTTCTAACGCACAAGGAAAATTGGATGCACCTGACTCATGGTGCACAGAAACTGTGAGATAATGAATGTGTGGTGTTTTTGTTGCTACATTTTGAGGAGGAAATATAACAGAGATATAGATTACCAATCCATATTTCTCTGGTCCTGTACAACTCATAGTAAGAGGAGGAAAGGATAAAACTCTACAGAGAAACAGATATGTTGAAATAGGTATATTCATAAGGTCCCAAGACCCAACAAGCTATTTTCTGGGTGGCATGGAGACTGTTAACTGAGGTGATATGTAAAAAGCAGGCAGTGGTGTGAACAGTATCACAGAGAAATTCAGTAGTGCCAAGTCACTAAAATTAGAGTTTTGGTAGCAAATATTACAGTAGACTGTAACTCTCTATGAATAACGGGATAAGATCACAGACAGCCCAGGTGAACCATTTAACTATCAGAGTTTATGCTGGATATTGTGGAGTACTGTATCTCATGGGGCTGTGTGGGGACTGTGAAGAATCTTTGGAGTTAATCATAATTCAAATATGCTGTAGAACATTTGTTTAACTAGGCAAAGATGTGTCATATTTGTTTATGCTGCGTTTGTTTAATGATGTAAAGATGTGCTGCTTTGCCTGCCTAAGGCACCTTATTGGTCAAGTAAAAATGAATGGCCAATAGCTAGGTAGTAGAGGGACAGATGGGGCTGTCAGGCAGCGAGAATAAGTAGGAGAGGGAATCTAAGCTCAAGAGAGGGGAGAGAGAAGAGAATGAGGGAGAAAAAAAGGGAGATGCCTGGGGCCAACCAACCAGGCAACTGCCAATCAGACACAGAGTAGGACATATAGAATGAAAGAAAGGTTAAAAGGCCCAAGGAAAAGTGTAGATGAAGAGAAACAGGTTAATTTAAGTTATAAGAGCCCCAAAGAAAGCCTGATACATTTGGCATTCCAACATGGGGCCCGAACTTTCACATAGGGGCCTGAGAAAGCTGAAAGAAAAGAGAGAGAGAGAG